GAGGTGTGTGACCTCTGCAACTGATGAGTGTCCCATGGATTCCATGAAGGCCACTGGGCATAAGGATAGTGCATTGGTGGCCAGTAGGCACCAGGCTAGGGACTCCTGTCATAACCGCAAGACAAGTGCCAATCCCAGTACCCATGATGCTCCATGAATGGCCTTCAACATGGGCCAGGCAATGGAGAACAGGAGGAAGAACATCCCAAACTCAATACCAAGGAGTCTCGGGTTGAAGTGAAGCCAGCCTTGAGGGTGCAAGCATCTGGTCTGACTCATCCGTTGCCCAAAAACAAGGGACCGGCACTGACGGTGGATATGGTACTGCCAACACTAAGTACACTTCTGTTGTTTCTGGTGCCAGGAATGTTGTCATCCCAGAAGTCAGCAGTGGTACCAACATAACTGATGGTGCCGATGCAGAGGGTGGTAAGTGCTGCCATGGTAACATTGGTGGTGCAAAATGTGATGCCAAGGAGTTTCTTGGTACCAAGGAGGTCCCTTGCATCGTTCCCAGCACCAGCCTCACTTCCACAGTCTGCAGCAGGGAAATATCAGGATACAGTGCTGCCGGACCCAAAGGTTCAACAGCCTGCTCAGCCAATGGTGTTGTAAACAATATAGCCCTGGCAAAGCCCTGGATAAGGTCCAGACAGAAAGGCAGAGGAGGTCCATTGCCACGTGATACACTGCTAGAGTGGAAACAGCTGGTACCAGCATCACTGTTGTTAGTACCGGACTCAATGGACACTTTGGGGCCAGAACCAGAGTTAACGGTACAAGGTCTCTGACCTCCACACACAGTATCAGGGACAGGTTCGAAGGACTTCCTCCATCCCGTGTGCCAACATTAACACCATGCCCATCGATACTCTTTCTGGTGGAGGCAGAAGAATCATGAGATCTGGAGTGGTCTCAACAAGTCTTATGCAACCTTTTCCTCTGTGCACTCAATGGGGAGCAGCTCCTCTGCCTCTTTAGAGAGGCACTGGCTCCAGAATGCGAAACTGCAGCACTCTCGGAACCCTAGGGTAACCTCTGATCCAGGTGTCTCAAACACATGGCCTGTGGGCCACATGCGGCCCGCTGAGTTATTTCCTGCGGCTCGCCATAGGCGCTGACTCCACTGGCAGCCAAGCTCCCCTCACCCCCCGCCCCTCCTCCTCCCTAAGTGTGCCACATCCCTGCTCCTCTGCCTATCTCCAAGCGCTTCCTGCCGCCAAACAGCTGTTTGGTGGTGCTTGGGACTTTTCAGGAGGGAGGGGGGAGGAGCGGGGACGTGGTGCACTCAGGGGAGGACGTGGAGAAGAGCCGGAACCAGGGCGGGAATTTGGGGAAAGGATTGGAATAAGGGTGGCGGGGGGCGAAGCCTTTGGGGAAGGGGTAGGAAAAGGCAGGGCCTCATGGAAGGGGTGGAGTGGGGGCAGGGCCAGGGGCGGGGGGGCTTTAACAGAAGTAATTCTAAAAGTAAATATGTGTTTCGTCGTTTGACTGAGGTGCATTACTGAGCGTTTGATATTTTATTAAAACCCCTCTTCGCATTACAGTTTTAAAACAGTTAATACATTTACTTTTAATAGTATATTACTCTTCATTTTTTTTCATTTTTGACTATACTTTTGTATCATTGTATGAAAACGTTTCAGTGATGCGGCCCTTGGGCCAATGTACTAGTCTTCATGTGGCCCTCATAGTGATTTCTGTTTGAGATCCCTGCTCTGATCTGATGTAGGCCTCAGTATCAAAGCAGGCACTGCTTTAAGTGAAGGTCCCTAGCCACTTGAGTCCATTTTGTGAACAACTTGCAAATTGAACACCAATCTCGGACATAGGCCTTGCCCAAGCAAATGAAGGACTGTATGTGGGGATCATTGTTAGGGATTGCTCCCCCACATGATGGACAATGTTTAAACTCTGGTGAGCGTATCACCCAGGAAATACTTAACTAAATCTAACTAACACTAATACTAAGGATACTAACTAAATATACACAACAGCATAAGACAGTGGCAGTGCTGCCTCATATAGCCAGGGGAGTGGCTGCGAGCACAAGGTGTGACAGCTACCTCCTACAGGTACTGCTAGGCAAAATTCTTCAGCTCCAGCATGCTGGGCACGCACACATACCTAAGTGGAATACATGGCTGAATCTACTCTGAGAACATCATGAAGCTAATTACATGGTGCCCCTGCACTTTGTCACAGGGTCCTTGCAGAATGGCAAAGGAACTCTGTGGCCAATCCATGTAATTATTTGCCTCTCTTCCTCCAGAGGAAAGGGAAGGGTGTATTTTATTAATATTGTTGGCACAGTAATGAGTCTTACATGTTTGTCCTGAAGGTATTGAATTTTGTGGTCCTTCTAATTTCTTGAGGAGCAGACCTCCTCAGTTGTGGGCCAGCCTGCTGAGAAAACTCTCTCCTGCTTTCATGAGCCTCACCCTTGTCCAATAATTTGAGCAAGACATGGTTGCTGAGGTAGCCAGGCATCGCCCATTGGGTGTTATAAAGATTAAAAACTTGGCACTTCCACTTTTCATTTCTCTTTTGTAAGGTTTAGCTTTTAGCTAGCTATTTTTTAATCTAGGCACTGATCTTGCTTAGGCATTTGAACTGCTGGAAGACTGTTTTCTGAATATGTGGTATGATGGAAAGAAGGGGCGTCAGCTATGTACTAGTGGCATTAGAAGCCATGGTATCTCACAATCTACTCTACTAGGGTTACCCAGAGTACCCAATTCAGGAAAGCACTTAAGTACACGTTTAAGTCCTTTTCAGAATTGAGGCCATAACAAGTAGAGTGGGAGAGAGGACCGAACCTTGAACTTCATATGAGGGCTCTACAAATGTAGCTGCAGTTGCTCAACAGAACCATTTGGAACTGTTCTTAGAGGCAGGTTGTGAACCAATTCCAGACAATTTTGCTTACTTCTGTCATGTTTCTGGGGACCCCCAGTAGCATCTCCAGGTAAACTGTGTTAAATGTTCCTGAGGGATTCAGAGATATGATTATGGAGGTTTGCACTCTGCCAGGAAATCAACTACTTGCACAACCAGCACTCTCTCTGCCAGATACTGATCTAAAATCTGACTGGGAAGGGTGTAGGATCTTGGTGCACATGAGGTGTAGCTGGAGACTGTTGTAGATGGTTCTTCATCAACTTCTTGCTCACCTGGCTCAGGAAAAGGAGTTTAGAGACATAGTGTTTACTGTTGGGGTTACTTGCCTCAAGAGATGGTTTCCTCAGCACTGATCAGATAGTGTGTGTTCTCTCAAAGGAGGAGTTGACTATAAAAGCTAAGAGGGCCCAGACACTCAGGACATGATAGGGGTAACCCAAATCCCACATTGTTTGAATTTCCTGTAGTATTTCAGGGACTTCCTGTTGTATGAATAAGCTGATGTCTGACAAGGAGGCTATTGCCTATGGAGGGCTCTGTGTGCAGTCTCTGATCCTGGAACCTAGAAAGGCAATCCCACAAGAAGTGGCGACAGAAGAAAGTGCAGAAATGAGAACAGGAGCTAAAAGGGGAAGGGTGGGGAGCATATCAGTGGCTCACTGTGACCCTAAGAATCCCTCAGTACCAACTGGCAAAGGGTCCACTGTTGTGTAACAGCAACTCTTAACAGGCCTGACAAACTCACTACTCCTAGCACACATGGTATTTATCCATAAATGATCTCATGTGAAGTCTCTAATAAAAGCGTGTATATGTGTACATATATATATCTCATACTGATCCTCATAATCATCACAAGATGTACGTATGGATGATATTTAAGGAATTGTGTATATGTTTGAAAAATATGTTTAAATGTCTGTCACCAAAGAGAAAAACAGGTTTCTTCCAAACAAGAGATAAGGTGTGTGTCCCCATCAAAATGTAATTTAACTACTGTAAACAGACACTATGGAAGTCCCATTTACAAGCAAAATCAACAGGGAGATGGGAAGTCAAGACACCACAGGCTGACCCAAAGAAGGTTGCCCTGTCTCTGGGGGAGACAATGAACTTTTGGAAATAAAAGAGGAAGACAAAAAGACATCCTTTTATCCTCAACTTGAGGAAACAGACTGTGTGTTTATATTAACGAAAATGGGATCTCAACAAGGCTTGGTTGGAATGCTGCAAAATATATTTGGGGTGAGAGAAACTTCCTTAGACAGAAGGTTTGCCTGCTAAGTTAAGTTTTATTCCCTAGAAAGTGTTATGATTTTGTTTTACATGTAACCTGTTTCCATTATTCTTACTCACTAGCTCTTAGATCTTTATGTTTTTGATAATAAAACTTACAATTATTTTCACTATAAAGATAACTCAGTGCTGTGGTGTTATACGAGAAGCTGATCCTAATTCGAATCATCAAAACTGGTATATATACTGTTCCTGGAGAAAGCTGACCTCGTAATTCTGTGAGTGTTCAGTCTATAAAGGGCTGAATACCACAGGGGGACATTTCAAAGTGTCTCAGAGACTGGGGTTAACCTGCAAAACAAAGTAAGGGATGGCATAGGCTAGAGGAGATTGTTTGAGTAATCAACACACAAGGAGCTAACACCCAGTTAAGCACAAGCAATTCTCCTTCTTGGTGGAGGCAAATACGTTACAGTGACTCAGTGCTGGGCACCCCAAGAACTAGCACATACATTTCATTGTTTTCTGGTATTTTTTTTCTAAGGAGGGGGTCTTTTTTCCTTCAGGGAAGACAAGTAAAGGTGGGGCTCATGATGGAGGAAGTGGTGGAAGAGTTCAGAGGCTGTAAATTAATTTACTTTCTACCTGTCCAGGTTTTCACTCATTGCACAGAGGGTCTTGGTACAACTGATAGAGATTTCCCCTGGTGAAAACATCACCATACTTAAATCCTCAAACTCATATGTAGTTGCTCATATGTAATCATGCTAGATTAATATTCTGAAACCCTGCACAGAATGCTGTGGTGTTCACTAATGGAGTGCTCTCACTCCTATGCACTGCCCTGATTAACACTGCCTCACCTGGCTGTAGACTCTCCACCAGCCACTTGTGATTCTGATGGGATACTCTGGTGGAATTTCCCACCTTGAGGCTTCTGGTTGTCAGGACATCAAACCTGCAGAAAGGGTCAGAATCACAGAGCAGGGTCATCTCCTTCACCAGGAGGTCAGCAGGGTCTTCATAAGGAGAAAACACTGGTATGAAGGCAGAGTTGTGCTTTTCCACATAGAAGTTGTTCAGTAAGAACTGGGTGTCATAAGTAAAGAGGGAAGTTTCATATTTGACAGCCCCTGAGGAAACAGACAGACAGATGTCTATGTATATGTTCATATACAATATAATTTGGACAGTGCATTCCCTTATCCCCAAAGGTATTATCTCAGCATCAGTTAAACACTATGCAGTTTCAAATATGCAAGGTCGAGACTGATAATGGAACTGCTGCCAGAGTTTTAAAAAGTGGTTCTTCTATCTCATTTTACGTTATGTAAATATATTAGTCCACTGATAACAGGCATCGTAGTTAAGTTTATCAAGTCTCTTTCTTTCAACACTTTCTATATGCATTATCATTAGGAAAAATTCTTCTTTGGGGCTGAAATTTTCCAGGCTTGATATCGATCCAAAAAATATATTTTGAGGGAAGTTTAAGGCAAATCTTTTCAGTAGCCAAGCTACTGGAGAGCGGCAAAAACCCTATCATCTGTACTTTAAAAAAATAGCTGAATAATTGCTTAAAACTTTTCATGTTCAGTAATTAGTTCTTGGTGGAGAGTCTGAGCCTATAAGCTATATCAGCCAGAGAGTCACATGTACATTGGACATGCTTCTGCAAACACTGCTACCCACCTTCTCAGACTAACACCATATTGTGCTACAAATTTCATAGATCAAAAATTTAGAGATGGCACGGACCTCTTAGGTCCCATCTAGTCGCTCTCCATTCCAATACAGGATTATTCCCTTTTGTACATTTACTATTATAATTATTTGTATTACCATAGCACCTAGACTAGTGTTTGGGTCAGTCTAGTTTTAAAGAGTTGATGTTCCCACCATTTTCCCAGAGAAATTATTGCACAGGTTATTAGATACCTGGTGACACCATGATGATATCCTGAAAATATGTTAGATAGAGCAACCCAAACATTATAAACAAACAAAAACCTTCCTTGGAGTCATAATCTTAATTTTTGCATTTTATATTGGAAGCCTGTTGAGGAGGGACTGTTCACTATGGGTTCAGAGCTGGAATCTGGCTGAGCTGTGCTTGATACAGAAATTGATGGATGGCAAAGGGCGGGGGGGTGTACACCACTGTTTTGCCCCCGATCAATCCTTAGAGAAATTTAGAGCAGCCTAATTTTGCATGTTGGAGGTATCTGGCAGATTATTTGAGTTAGATTTAAACAGCCCTTCTCTTACTTTCTTACCTAGCATAAACTGCCTGTTTTCTGTCCAGGAGTTTGGCAGTTAGCACAAATGTCCATGCTTGCTAAAACTCTGTCAGAAGATGATATATCTGAATAGAAACAACACTTATATTCTGGGGATCACAGCACTATTGTGACTTTTCAGTCACTTCATGCTAGCTCCAGTTGGACACTCAACAGAAAAGCTAAGATATCAAAAATGCATTACAAGCTCCATTCTGTGATACAGACAATGTAGGAGGCCTTACCTTCCTGGCTCTGGGCCCGACACATGTGACTGTGAGCTCCACCCACTGGAGTACAGGAGGCCCTACCTCTTTACTACAGGCTGCTCAAAACAGATTTGTTCTCTTTGAAGATGGCTTAATTTTCTATGCTGCAAATAATAAATGGTTTTGATTTTCTGAAGCTACTTCATGTAAACCTGAGAATGGAGTAATGGGCCAGGAAATTACTTACAGTCAGCTCCAAACTCAAACAACTGCTGAGGGCTGGCATCAGATGACATGGTTGTCCCATTTTTGAAGGTATACTCATCCGTTGGATTATCATTCATAACCCCCAAGAGACCCTGTGTGTGATTGTGAAACTCCACTGGCAACAGGACTGTCAGGCTCAGAAATCCTCCCCTTCCTCTTAGTTCCATACCAGCCCCAGAAGAGAACATCACTGTGATGTTCTGATCAGCTGTGGAATAGAGAAAGAGGCCTATAACAAAGAGAGAAAACATGTGATTATATATGACACATACTTCACAATATACTGGCCACATAAATGTTCCCCAACTGAGGGAAAACTGCAAGTTTCCCATTAAACTTCCACTCATATTTAGACTGCTATTAACAGCTTTCATAGAGAATCAAGTGATCATAATACCAGTCATACTGCAGTAACATAAATGCATTCAGCGCACATTTTCATGCTCTATTTTTGAAGAGGAATAATTGAATGTTACCATGTGGCATGTTGTGAGAATCCATGTGAGAGAGAAAAAAAGTTAGATAGCCATTATATTTTCATAGGCTAAATTGACCCTGACCTAGTAGGCAAAGGAAGGGAGTGAAGGGGAGTAAGGAGCTTTTATTCCACTTAACCCTGACACAGGGGCTAGGGAAAGTCACCATCTGTTTCTCCACATATCCCTGGAGACACAAATCACCTGAAATAATGACGAGGGAGGGGAGGAGTTGGGCTATGGCCTCATCCACATCTCCATTAGCAGGGGAACTACATCATCCTTTTGGATAGTGCAACCATGTGCATTCTTCCCTGCACTTCAGGGAGCTCAGGGAAGGGATGTGCCTCCTGAGGAATTACCCTGCCATTACACACCCTGGAGTGGGGTGGCATTAATTCCAGTGTGGGCCAGTGGCTAACTACCACAATCTAGACCACAGCATCTTAATGGAGAAGCATAATATGCATCAGCTTCTCCCTTCACCAGCTCCTTCCCTTTCCCTTGGGCCACTCTAACCAAGTGCCACCCATAATGCAGAGGGAGTCACTGCCACTGCTGAGAAGAGGCACCACAGAAATACAGGCTAGGATTTGCAAAGAAACCCAAAGGAAATAGGCATCCAACTCTGATTTCAATAGGATTTGGACATCTAAATCCCTCACGCTCCTTTGAAAATCTCAACCATAACGGATAATTTACACAAAGTGCTGCTGTACTGACTCAGTCCTCAGAACTTTCTTTGGAGGGATTCTTAACCCTGGTGCCTGCACTTCTGCTCAGACCCAGGCCTCTCTTGCCATCTTCTTGTGCCAGTTAGACTAAGGAAATGCAGGTTAAGGAAGATAATTCCATTACCTATGATAGTGTCCCAGCATAGCTGCTGAGACCCTGCCTGTCAGCTATTTTGCCCCTCATGTCATCTCTAGAATCACCCCCAGATTGACCATTCAACTTGGAAACGAAGGCAGGGACTGGAGCGAACAAACATCTGGGCTGATGTTTAACTACACAGGGGCCTTGTAGGAATACAAAGTGTGATTGGAGCAGAAACACTATAACCCACCCTTTTCAAGGTTGATATCAATGTCTAACCTTTCAAATCCATCCAGCTTTGCTCAGAGAAACTAAGCACCTCCTTGTTCAACAGGACCTCCAACATCCCAGAGTGCTCTGAGTTGCGTACCTCAATCACATCAGAATTATTCTCCTGTATGGCAACTGAAGACAAGCCTGTCACTTTAGCCAGAGTTTCTTCCAAACAAAAACAAGTTCGATTAAAAACACTGCCCCAAGTCCCTCTAAAGTATATGTTAATTTTATGATTTTTACTGTCATATTTTACATAGGATAAATATGAATAATGGTTCTTTGGGGTGGCTTGTAAAGTGTACAGATTATATATAAAGACACAAACCTCTCCCTTCTTACCTATTAATGTCATGTTGAGATTACAATACTAAGCACTCAAAAGTCAGGAAATTCAAAAATCCGTCACTCCAATCATAGAATCATAGAAGGAAGGGACCTCAGAAGGTCATCTAGTCCAACCCCCTGCTCAAAGCAAGACCAATCCCCAACTTAATCATCCCAGCCAGGGCTTTGTCAAGCCTGACCTTGAAAACCTCTAAGAAAGGAGATTCCACCATCTCCCTCAGTAATGCATTCCAGTGCTTCACCACCCTCCTAGTGAAAAAGTTTTTCCTAATATCCAACCTAAACCTCCCCCACAGCAACTCGAGACCATTACTCCTTGTTCTGTCATCTGCTACCACTGAGAACAGCCTAGATCCATCCTCTTTGGAACCCCCTTTCAGGTAGTTGAAAGCAGCTATCAAATCCCCCCTCATTCTTCTCTTCTGTAGACTAAAAGAAAAGGAGTACTTGTGGCACCTTAGAGACTAACCAATTTATTTGAGCATAAGCTTTCGTGAGCTACAGCTCACTTCATCGGATGCTCAAATAAATTGGTTAGTCTCTAAGGTGCCACAAGTACTCCTTTTCTTTTTGCGAAAACACGGCTGTTACTCTGAAATCTGCAGACTAAATAATCCCAGTTCCCTCAGCCTTTCCTCATAAGTCACGTGCTCCAGCCCCCTAATCATTTTAATTGCCCTCCACTGGATGCTTTCCAATTTTTCCACATCCTTCTTGTAGTGTGGGGCCCAAAACTGGACAAAGTGCTCCAGATGAGGCCTCACCATGTCGAATAGGGGGGAATGATCACGTCCCTCGATCTGCTGGCAACGTCCCTACTTATACAGCCCACAGTGCCGTTAGCCTTCTTGGCAACAAGGGCACGCTGTTGACTCATATCCAGCTTCTCATCCACTGTAACCCCTAGGTCCTTTTCTGCAGAACTGCTGCCTAGCTATTCAGTCCCTAGTCTGTAGCGGTGCACGGGGATTTCCCCCCGTCCCCGAATTTCTCCAACACCCCCAGCCCCAGTTTTGTGAACTAGTTACATGCAGTGTTGCCAATTTAGTGATTGTTTGGAAATCTGAATTGAAATTGAAATTGAAACATTAATACACACTTTAAAAGCATATACAGTGTATGATAAAATATGTGTACCTGAAAAAGTATAATAGGTTTGAAAAGTATGAACAAAGACTAGCTTCCTTTCACAGCTGTTGTGTTTCTGACCATGTCAGTTCATTCATTTCAATGATGTTGGCCAACCTAATAATTTAAAATTATGATTTATAAGCAGAGTCTAAATGAGCTCTCCCTGACAGCTAGTGATGAGCTAGGGGCTGTGGGGAAAGGCTTCAGGACCAGATTGTATTTACATTCACACCTAATCTACCTAGGTATCCAGCAAACAGAGCTGTGTTGCCCAGGTGATAGATTTTGGCTGGGGTTGGGTTACAAATCACTTGAATGAAGGTGGGGGGAGGTATAATGAAATTTGTTATTCTTATTGTATGAGTAAAGGGCATACAGCTAAATAGAGAGAGAGGGTGAGGACAGGTGTTTTGCTTGATGGTCTGCCTGAGTCACAAGTACTATTAGACCTGCCCCTCTCCACTGTTTAAAGACAGAGGTGATTAGGCTCCATAGATAGTCTCTGTTTTGTTAAGTGATCACTACAGCTGAAATCACTGATAATCAGGTCTAAGTGCTTAGACCTGCTGTGGGACTGTGTTTCTGTGGAAGAGACGGCCCAGTCTGCACTAGCAGCAAGGTTCCCCCACTGAGAGCTCAGCTAAAATCACTGAGAGCTGGGTGGAACCTCAAGAGACCAACTCACAGAGGTCACAGTGGCAGCAGAAGGTGACGGCGCAGGGCCATTGGCAACAGAGCGATGGAGTGAACAGTGACACAACAAACAACAGTGGCCAGAGCGAACAGTGAGCAACCGGAGGAATGAGCAAGGTGCCTTCTTGCCCCCACTTGGGAGATGAACTCATGTGAAAGCACCTCTGAACTCTGAGTCTCCACTGACCAAGGACAACACCAGTGAGTGTTAATGAGGCTGTTAAGAATGGTGGAGACAACACAGTTCATGCGAACAAACATGGCTGTGGCATCATACTTTCTATTTAAGCAAGAGATACCACACACTACAAACTGGAGGCCAATGTTAAGTGCATTGTCACTTGTTCATCCTGATGTTGAACACTGGTTCCGAACAAGACCAGCAAATGCTCACTATCTTTTTGCAAGAAACTCAACTGACTGGCTAGATGCCTGTGGTGCAACAGTGAAAGACTCAACAGTTGAAAAAGTAAAGAACTCTCTCACCACATTCAAAAAATTTGCATACATGGCTGATGAATGCACCAATGCAAATAGTCATCAAGTATTAAGTCATTGTGTATGTTATCTTGATGTCAGTGGTAGGCCAGTAGATACATTTCTAGATGTTCAAGTTATAGAAGACAGATTGGCTGCATCTGTGAAAACCCACATCATAGAAGAGTTAAATGCTTGTCATATGGACCCCAAACAGATGGCTGCTTGTGCATTTGATGGAGCTACAAACTTCTCTGGAAGACATGGATGAGCAAAAGCTTTGCTCAGAGAAAAGTGTAACCCGAGTCTCTCCTATACACACTGCAGAGGCCATCTACTCCAACTAGCGCTAGTACGAGCTGCAGACTCTTCAAAAGACATTAAAAAAGCGATAAATTTAATGTCTTCATTATATTCTTTTTTCAGCAAGAGTCCAATATCTTGAATATCTTGGAAAATATAGAAGATATACTGGGACTGAAGTTGAAATTAGTCCAACCTGGGAAAACCCTCTGGCTTTCTCATGAGCGATCCTTGGCTGTTGTCTTAAAATTACTCCAGCCATTATTACTGGCTTTGGAAAGTATCTACCAAGATGGGATGGAACTAAGTATGAGGCTGGTGGATTACTTCTGCTACTACGTTCAGAGAAGACTATTGCCATTCTCTCTCTTGTAAGTCTACTGTTGAAACCACTTGGGTCATTACACAATGCCATCCAGGCATCTGCTACAACAGTAGAAGATCTTTGTCCAGCAATAGAAGCTACATTTGGTTCAATCAGAGAGCTATCCATTGAAAAAGTACTGGAAGAAGCAAAGACTTCAGTCCAGAAGTTGACTAATGAAGGCATTTATATTGAATCCTTAAGTGAAGAGGACAAGAAGTGTTTAAGACAACTGAAAAAGTACACAGACTTGATTTTTAAAAATCGACAACAGTGACTTCTAGATTCTACTCAACCTCTATGTAGCTTTTACAGATCCCTGTCTTATAAAACACTGACAGTTGAGTGGGAGTGAGGGACTACCAGCAATGGGGCTGCCATGTGCTCAGGACAGAATAGAGAATTTGAACACAGAGTGGAATATCATAAGACGAATGAATGAAGATTTGACTTCAACTTCTTTTTTATCATCACTAGTGGCTCAAGCCAATCTTTATGCTACGTTTCCTGGGCTGAAAGAAGTAGGAATTCATCTCTTGCTACTCCCAGTCACAACAGCTACAGTTGAGCATTCTTTTTCATTATTGAATAGAATTGTGTGTTTTGAAAGACGTTGCCTTCTGCCTGATCATGTGAATGAACTAATGAGCATATCAATTGAAGGAATGGAAGTACTGGACACACGAGAAGCCACCAAAGAATGCATTGCATTCAAGAAGTTCATTAACAGAGTTCTGCAAAATTATAACAAAAAAACAAGAAGGATGTAGATGTAGTACTTCATAGAAGGCTTGAGTAGCCAACTTTAATTTGTGTGATGATTTTAAAATCTAATAAAATGGTCATGAAACATTTTTCAGTTTTTACTATGGTGACATACAGCCCACCTTCATCCTCATAGTCTCAGCCCTCATTGGCCCTGACTCCCCGCCCTGTAAATTTGAACACCTGCCCCCAGGTTCAATTCCTGGGGAAAACACTGGCTGTGCATGGGATTCTTCCATCCTAAGTACAGGACTCTGCACTTGCCCTTAGAATCATAGAATATCAGAGTTGGAAGGGACCTCAGGAGGTCATCTAGTCCAACCCCCTGCTCAAAGCAGAACGAATCCCCAATTTTTGCCCCAGATCCCTAACTGGCCCCCTCAAGGATTGAACTCACAACCCTGGGTTTAGCAGGCCAATGCTCAAACCACTGAGCTATCCCTCCCCTTGTTGAACCTCATCCAATTTCTTTTGGCCCAATCCTCTAATTTGTCTAGGTCCCTCTGTATCCTATCCCTACCCTCCAGCGTATCTACCACGCCTCTCAGTTTAGTGTCATCTGCAAACTTGTTGAGGGTGCAATCCACACCATCCTCCAGATCATTAATGAAGATATTGAACAAAACTGGCCCCAGGGCCAACCTTTGGGGCACTCCATTTGATACCGGCTGCCAACTAGACATGGAGCCATTGATCTCTACCCGTTGAGCCCGATGATCTAGCCAGCTTTCTATCCACCTTATAGTCCATTCATCCAGCCCATACTACTTTAACTTGCTGGCAAGAATACTGTGGGAGACCGTATCAAAAGCTTTGCTAAAGTCAAGGAATGACATGTCCACTGCTTTCCCCTCATCCACAGAGCCAGTTATCTCGACATAGAAGGCAATTAGATTAGTCAGGTATGACTTGCCCTTAGTGAATCCATGCTGACTGTTCCTGATCACTTTCCTCTCCTCTAAGTGCTTCAGAATTGATTCCCTGAGGACCTGCTCCATGATTTTTCCAGGGACTGAGGTGAGGCTGACTGGCCTGTAGTTCCCCGGATCCTCCTCCTTCCCTTTTTAAAGATGGTCACTATATTAGCCTTTTTCCAGTCTTCTGGGACGTCCCCTGATCGCCATGAGTTTTCAAAGATAATGGCCAATGGCTCTACCATCCCATCTGCCAACTCCTTTAGCACCCTCAGATGCAGTGCATCCAGTCCCATAGACTTGTGCTCGTCCAGCTTTTCTAAATAGTCCTGAACCACTTCTTTCTCCACAGAGGGCTGGTCACCTCCTCCCCATGCTGTGCTGCCCAGTGCAGGAGTCTGGGAGCTGACTTTGTTCGTGAAGACAGAGGCAAAAAGTGACAGAACAAGGAGAAATGGTCTCAAGTTGCACTGGGGGAGGTTTAGGCTGGATATTAGGAAAACTTTTTCACTAGGAGGGTGGTGAAGCACTGGAATGTGTTACCGAGGGAGATGGTGGAATCTCCTTCCTTTGAAGTTTTTAAGGTCAGGCTTGACAAAGCCCTGGCTGGGATGATTTAGTTGGGGATTGGTTCTACTTTGAGCAGGGGGTTGGAATAGATGACCTCCTGAGGTCCCTTCCAACCCTCATATTCTATGATTCTATGAAAAAAAGCATTGAGTATATTAACTTTTTCCATATCCTCTGTCACTAGGTTGCCTTCCTCATTCAGTAAGAAGCCCACACTCTCCTTGGCTTTCTTCTTGTTGCCAACATACCTGAAGAAACCCTTCTTGTTACTCTTAACATCTCTTGTTAGCAGCAACTCCAAGTGTGATTTGGCCTTCCTGTTTTCACTCCTGCAATCTCAAACTCCAGGGGATAACAACAAGAATAGTAATTCCCATCCCTTATATGTACCCAGTCTTGTGAGTGAAGCATACAGCAACACAGGATAATGTCATGGATGTCATGGCAGAAATGGAAAATTAGTTATTCAGAAACACAAATGGTTGACAAGGTTGGGGGGTGAGCCAGGTCTAAGCAATCAGAATCTACTACAACAGCACCCAGAATGTTCTAAGTGCTCTACAGACTTACATAAAAATAGTGCCCCCCCCCCCGCCCCTCACCAGAACAAGCAATCTAAGAAGACAAACTGGCCAACAAGAGTGGAAGAGATACAATATTCAAGCAAAGTGCTCAGAAATGATCAGCCACATTTCTTTAGTTCCAAACAAAATGGAACATGTTTTTAAATGTACATACTTGTATTTAGATTATCAAAATAGTTTTAGGTTTTGCAGGGAGCACTTGAGTTTGATTTGGGGGGGAAAAAGTGAATGATGGAAAGGGAGTAAGATGGGAGTGAGTTAAGGGAAAGAGGGAGGATAGAAAGAGTTCTGGCTTTCAAACAAAGATAAAACTAAACCAAACGATCAAACCCAAAAGATGATTTGTCTTTGTTGCTTGTTCTTTCCCCAACTTACTATTGAGAGGTCTGGCAGGTTGTGTCCTTCCTTGTACTCTTAAGGTTGTCAGATTGGACTCCAGCAGTGTGTATTCACCTTGTCCTTTGAATGTGATGTTAGCTCCATCGAATGTGAGGAAGTGAGGATCCCCAAAAGCAGAAGCTGTTTTACACACATACGTTTAAATAATAAAAACCAAAAAAACACAACAATTATGTGCTCCATGGCTCACTAGATAATTTTTGTGAGGCTTCCGGGGGACAGCATTCATACAGAGAGAAGAAAATATGAAAGGAGTACAGAGGGAGTGTTTCCCAATGCCACTGGTAGCACCAGAAGGGAGTAAATGCATGGCGTAGGGCCAAGGCCCAGAACTCAGACAGCACTGTAGGACTAGCAAGAACTATTTTTTGACACATCACTGCTTCCATTCGCTGATACTCTGACCATGCACCTCCTGACCATTGTTAGTATGGCTCTGTCTGATAAAGACATAACATACTCCTTAGGAAATCACTCATTCTATCACCCCTGGTGCCACTCCAGTTGTGTCACTTCAAGCAGAGACTAGGCACATGCATTTTTACCGATGTGCAATTTAGATCTGACCAGATTATGTCTCAATGACACAATAGTAAACATGTTGGTGGCACATCTATGCTAGTGCTGCAACACTATTGGTGCTGCTGAACCAGTGCTAGAGCAACAGTGGGAGAGTTCAGAAAATATGCCAGTTAGACAAGGCTTTGGTATGTACTGAGAAAATATCCGAATTATACTCCACATTCAGAGAACAACCTCTAAGAGATTGTGTGAAACAGATTTGACCTGGAGAGCTTGCAGCACTGGGAGACCCAAGTCAGCCAGTAACACCAACAGCCCCAGGACAGCCGGTAGTCCTGGGAGAGCCAGATGAGCCAAGAAACATGGGAGAATTTGGAGACAGAGGGGAGCTGCCAACAGTAGGAAATGAAGGGAGAGACAGAAGGCTAGGGAGAACTGGCACTAGTGGGAATGTTGACTGTAGTAGGAGAGTCAGGAATCCTGGAATTACCAGCTCCCCCATGTCATCTTCTTAGCTGGGTCACCTGTGAACCTTCTCCAGTTATGCACTGGTCTCTGGTAGTTTCTCCCTGCCCTAAAACAATCCCAACTCCCTCTTGTTTCTGTGTATTAGGGAGAAGGCAGGATTTCGCAGTGCAGGGGAGAGCAGGGCAGGTTGGTAGAATAAGGGTGGGACCACCAGTGGTATGCCAGCCATTCCTCCTAATTTTATTTTTATTTTTAACAGTGTTATTAATTATATTCATATTGACAACAATATCATACTCATTGTGGTTGCATAGAAGCCCCAACCAGGAATCAGAGCCCCATTGGGCTGGTCACTGCACAGGTGTAATAAAAAGACAGTAGCCGGGTTAGCATGTGGCAGGAGGGAAGAGATGGAGACAAACAACTGAGCGAGAAAGAGAGGAGGGAGGACTACATTACAGTGAGATTATTATTGGTATAAATAGTAGCAGTCTCAGCATACCAACTGTCTAGCTATTGTCATGAATTGTCAAAAGCAACAGCCCCTCTGTTCTTTCTGGCATAGCATCCACTGATGGCTAAAAGCCTTGGGAATTAGCTAGTCCTCAGATAAATTTAACCTTATGATGAGCCAGGCTCCTAAGAGCTACTGAGGAAATTGAGAGTTCAGGATCCTAGAGCGGCAGAGTAGAGCAAGTACAATCCTTGCCCTCGACAGTTCTTCCAAACTGTTTACCATGACAGTTGTTGGCAAATTTAGACTGGCACATTGGACTCCCATCCATGACATAACTTCTGAGAATATACGCAAAAAGAAAAGGAGTACTTGTGGCACCTTAGAGACTAACCAATTTATTTGAGCATAAGATTTTGTGAGCTACAGCTCACTTCATCAGATGTGTCCGATGAAGTGAGCTGTAGCTCACAAAAGCTTATGCTCAAATAAATTGGTTAGTCTCTAAGGTGCCACAAGTACTCCTTTTCTTTTTGTGAATACAGACTAACACGGCTGTTACTCTGAATTCTGAGACTATATCTTTTATGCATCCAAACAAAAAAACATCTTTACTATTCAGTGGAACTCTGAAGCCCTTACCAACCCGAGGAGGTTTGTAAGTCCTGCAGTCACTGGAGGGACGGTGCTTCAGGTAGAACTGACAGTTATCAGACCACAGACAGCAGTAATAAAAGCTGATGACATCATAAAGCCAATGAGAAAAACCAGGAACCCTAGGAGGCTTTTTGAAAGGTGGAGAACCCCAGTCATGGCCTCGATCAGGTGTACTTCCCCCTATGGAGTCTCGTGTGAGGATCTGGGTACCTGTGGAGTCATAGCAGCACTGCTGTCCCGATGCATACTGGGGGCTGGTTGGAGAAATGCATTGAGAAGAAAGATTCACCATTTCAGCTTTGAAGTACAAATATTTATGAGTTTGGAGCTCAAGTGTTTTTTTGTTTATTGACATTACAAGACATTCTGTAATGTCTATGGTGATTAGATGGGCCCAGTTAAGATTTTTCCATCCCTGAAAGTTAGTTTAGGTTAGGATAAAGTATGGAGTCACTAATTTGGGATAAGACAAGAAAGGATTTTTACATCCAAGAGCTTGTCTGTACTAGGAAGTTGCACTGATCAACTAAAATTGATTTATAATTGAACTAGTTAAATGGCCACATACCGTAAATTACTGAATTAAACTAAACTGATAAAAGCAAAATTTAAATTGATTTAATTAGGTCTACTTTAGGGATTCACACTAGTTTAACTATATTGAGTTTAAAATAAATGTAGTTAAACTTGTGCCATTTTCTGGTATAAAAAAGGCCTATCTCAGCAGCATAGACAACAAGTGAATTGGGGTTGGGGAGCGAGGGGAGATAGAGAAAGAGGCTATTGCATGCTAAAGAGTTCAGGTCCTGACAATCTGTATAGTCCCCCTATGGTTGTGCTATCACCTAAGACTGAACAAATCAAAATACTGCATACAACTGGAATATAAATACGATTCGAAGGACAGAGACTGCAACTAAGGAAACACTGGGGCTTAAATCTGCAACAGGATTTATACACCTACAGCTCAGATTTAGGTTCTATTGTGATCCACAAAACCCCTGCTCAGCTGCTGCCTAAACTCATTTGGCACCTAAATTTCTGCCGTAAAAGTCCCCTAGGTGGCTAGATTTCTTCCTCTGGGTATGCACACTCCTGTCTCAGGCAGGTGCCCAGATGCCTATCTCATGCCGAAGACCCAGGACAATCTTCAAATCAAATAGAGATGATGAGCAGGGGAGTGCCATTCTTGCTTGCGGGACCTGATCTGGTAAACTTATTCTGAGCATACCTAATCCCACACAAAATAGCGGCCCACTAGTAAGGGGACTCACCCAGGATGTGGGAGACCTCCGTTCAATTCCGCCCCTCTGCGTGAGAAAGGATGAGAAGGCGTCTCCCATCTATCAGGTGATTGCCCTAACCACTGGAGTATGTAGGTCCCTCTGACTCTCTTGTTGAAGCTATTCCACTTAACTAATTAAATATTAATTGGGCCAGAAATAGTGAGAATAACTCCACAGTTCACTGCTTAGGGCATTTACCTGAGAGGCAAAAGATCCCTGTTTAAGGAAAGAACATACCCCCTAGTGTACCTCTACACAGCAAGTGGCAGTGAGTCTCAGAGCCTGGGTCAACAAACTCAGGCTCATGCTATGCACTAAAAATAGACATGCAGACAGACATTCAGGGTTGGGCTGGGGAGAAGTTTTTAGTGCTGTAGTGCAAGCCCGAGTCTGTTGACCCGGCTCTGAGACTTGCTGCTACTCATTGTGTAGATGTACACTTAGAGTCCAGAGAATTTTCACAATGAATTATAACAAATTAAAGGCAAGTCAAATTTGGGGACATAAACTGTCTGATAATGCTCCTTTGAATGCTTAATAAAAAAGCAGGTATTTACCTGGCCTGAATGGCCCTTACACAGTGCACAGCTCCAGGATGGTAAGTGCACACACTCCCTTTTTCAATGTCACACCCATAATCAGTCTGAAAGAGACAAATGTTCATACTTGCTGGAATTCCTGTTGTGTCCTTTTTGTTTTGTCTATGTCTCTTTGGGATGTGCTGGTCACAACTCCATAGTTAAGGCTAACTTTTCATTAGAACAAGCCATTAACATGATTTTTGTGTGATCAGTTTAGGCTAAGAGGAGAAATTTCTCCTAAAGCTTCAAACATCTAGGATAAATAGTGTTTAAATAACAAGCAGACAAAAATGTGAAAGAGTATCTTACAAGTTTTCAACCACCCCCCTCCTTCCAAAAGATGACACTTTACTCAGTCACAATTTCATATATTGGTGTCTGCACACACTCAAGCATAGCATTATTTCAAAACCAGTATTTCAAATTAAGTAATTTGCAAGAGCCAGAAGGAGCAGTTATTCTCCTAATTAGAGTTCTTCGAGATGTCTCTCCCTATGGGTGCTCCACTTCAGGTGCGCATGCATCTTTGATCAGAGATTTTCAGTAGCGGTGCCCATTTGGCGCACAGTTGTACTCCAAACATCCTCATACCTGCACTGAGGATATATGGAGCTACACAGGCAAACCACCCTAAGTTCCTTCTCTATCACAAAATTTCATGAGAGGAAACTCCAAAGCGGAGAAGTGCGGGTAGTGGAGCACCCAAGGGACACATTTCAAAGAACCAAACCATACTTTGGAGAAAATGTGTGTTGAAGTCCAGGTTGCAGCTTTGCAAATTTCATCATTTGGAAATCCTTGAATATTGCCAGAGAGATAGACTGAGACCTTGCAGACTGGGCTAACACTCTAGAAGGAGGCTGGATGTTGGCAGATTCATAATGAGATAATACACCCAAAGATCAACTGTGACACTACGCCCCATATTCTTCATAGAAATATTGTTGTAATTTGATTTTGGCATAACTAAGATGTAGTTTATGCAAGATGGGTCATGTGAGATATCATTGGAAAGACTATGATTTACTTAATATGATTATCCTATTTCTATGGATGTATCATTTATGTATCTAAAGTTAGGATTATTGACTATGTAACAATTACAAGTGGGTTTGCACCTGGGGAATGCCCACCAGACAAAATGCAATCAGTCTGGCTGGTTAGTCAATGGGCCATTAGGGAGAACAATAGGACATGCATCTGATGAAGTGAGCTGTAGCTCATGAAAGCTTATGCTCAAATAAATTTGTTAGTCTCTAAGGTTCCACAAGTACTCCTTTTCTTCTTAAGAGGACTTTGAAGATGCTAATCTCCCACCTTCCTGGGAAGTCTTCCTGAGGACTTATCGCTGCTTTGACACTGCAGGGTCATGTGATCATGCCACCTGGTACTGGACTCCATCTTGGACTACTGGTATTTTTCCACTAGTAGGGGTGGGGATCAAACTGGGAAACTGAGGGTGCCTGCCATATGTAAATCCTATTTAAGGTTGGAGAGCTAAGCTGTAAGCTGCGCGGCCGCATAGCACCCTTCTTAGCACCACACAGGTGCTCAGGGAAACCCCCCTGGCCCTGGCCCCGGCCTGGCCCCAGACACGGCCCAGCCCAGCTGAGAAGGAACTGAGGCAGATTCACCCATGCTGTTCTATATAGCCTCGGTACGGGGATGTTCGAAGCGCATGCATGGGCTGAACAGGCACTGCTACCAAAAAATCTGTGATCAAAGGTGCATGGGGCACTTGCATACCTGAATTGCAGCACCCATAAGGACATAATTTGTGCCCTTTTTTGGTTGTTTTATGATTTACAGAGAAGATCTGAAACCTTTTGTTAACTAGGTGTATATGTGTGGCATGTTTTTCATTAGTAATTCAGATCTTGTATACTCTGGAAGACTAAAGCAACTAAAGAATTAGTAAGATTATGGTATCACAAGAGAACAAAAGATTCAGAAAGTGAGACACGAAGGTTTTTTAAAAACAAATTTTTTTTTTTTCCACTAGATTCAACATCACCTTTTCAATTTAGGTGTGAAAGTTCACAGTAGAGTCTGAGATATTCACCAAACTGAAACAATACTGCCAACTTCAAGAGACCAAAAACCATGAGTTGGACCCCAGAATCATAAGATTTATTTTTTACAAGATAGTATTTTTTCAGTCTGTCTTTTTGAGTTTTGAACTCCCCCTATCTAACACCAGTGTGTGTGTGAAACAAATAGAGTTGCTCACTCTCCCAAATTTATTGGGTACGGTGATTTTGCCTCCCTGCTGCAAGAGCTCTCACTCCAAAATCTGCCTGTCCTGTGTCCAGCAACTAATCTTATCCTCCAGTCCCTGCACCATCCCTGCACCAAACCCAGCCCTGGCTTCCATAACTTCAACCCTCCAATCAATTCAACTCCTCCAACTCCCATCAGTTCTGCAACCACAGCCTCTCCTCTTCTCCTCCTGGGGTTCTTCACCCCCCGCCCCTCAAGCTTTGGCAGTCTGCAGCAGGGTCCCCTCTTCACCTTCCCAGACTGGGGTGTCAGCTTCAGGAGCTCTTCATTCTCCTCTGTCCCTGCCCAGGCTAGGTACTCAAGGCAGGAGGAGCAGCAGCAGTAGGGGCGCCATCCTGTCTGTTACTTACAGGACCTAGACCTAGACCTAGAATATCAGGGTTGGAAGGGACCTCAGGAGGTCATCTAGTCCAACCCCCTGCTCAAAGCAGGGCCAATCCCCAGTTTTTGTCCCAGATCCCTAAATGGCCCCCTTGAGGATTGAACTTACAACCCTGGGTTTAGCAGGCCAATGCTCAAACCACTGAGCTATCCCAGGGGTGTGGGAGGAGAGTGCAGCTCTTTGCCCCCCTCCTGTGAGAGCAGCAAGCAGAAGGGAGAGATTCTGGCAGCACTGAACTGCATGAGAGGATCACCAGCACCCCCTGAAATCCCATCAATCACGATAAAAATCTCAAGAGTTAGCAATACTGAAACAATATTTTTAAACAAAATCTTTCAGGCCTTCTTTAACCATAATAAAACAAAAAAGGGCATAAAATAAACCTTTACAGGCCACCTATGTTTTTATTGTAAGAGGGGCTGGTTGGAGCCTCTTATGGTTGGTTGCCCAACACTGCCCATTATAAGACCCTATTTTCAGTTGCTTATAACTTTGAGAAACTAACAGTTTGGGATGAAAATTTCCATGCTATGTGTTTGGCATATGCTGATATTGTTTTTATAATTTCAGCCATTTGGGTTCAGCCATTTCTGAGAATGAGGCTGGGGGAAATATGTTGTTTTGCCCTCATTAAAAATGCTAGAGACCTTTTCTTTTAAATGCTCTAGCGCCCCCACATCCCTTGGCAGAGAAACTAGAAATCTGGCAGGGAGAGGCTTTGGTGTCAGAGATCTACCTTTTGCTATCCCCATGAAAAGCTGCCCAAATGTGGCCAAGTTATATGCCTTTGCAATAAAATAGTTCACACTACTCAGTAGAGACTTCTATATTACCAGCTAAAATCTCCAGATTCCATTTTGCAATCTCCAGCCTCTTGGCTCTCAGTGCTCAATCCACTCATATCTCCAGCGTGTGACCGAACTACGTGTATAACAACTCTACAGGTGACTGAGCATGCTCCAGTATAGGGCTACAGGGGTTCAGAAAGACTCACTCTGTAATTGCTGCTGCCAGCTGCTCTGGGTTGAGGTGGGGCCAGTGAGAACAAGGACCTTATGCTCTCAGTGCCCCTCCCCCCACCCTTGGCACCCAGGCAGCATGGAGGAGGAAGCTATCTGATTCAAATGCAGAGGGAACAAAATCCATACCAATGGGAGGGAAAGGAGTAGATTGGGACAAGGAGTCTAGTGAGACTGGATCTGAGGATGGAACACTGGGACTTGTTAATCAAGGAGACAGTAACCAAGGGCTAGAAGGAGAGGGGAGCCTGGGACTAGCGGGACAAGGAGACAGGGACTAGGAACCAGTCAGGGGGAAGAGGGGAGGAGAGATATCTAAAAAGGAGCTGGTGTGAGGGTAGAAATGGGATGGGGAGGAGACTGATTGGATTAGGAGCCCTGGAAAGGAGACTAGGAGCCTGTGCAGAGTGGTAGGGCAGGGGAGAGAGAGCCACGTAGCACAAAGAGCATGAAGGGGGAAACTGGGATTGGCTAGGCAAAGAGACTAGGGAGACAGAATTTGGGCAGGTAAATTTATTATGTCACTGCAAAAAAAATATTTCTATAAAAGGTTCCTAAACCTCTAGGTCTACCTAATAAAATATATTAGCTCATCTGGCTCCACATTAGACAGTACTAACTTACATGGAACCTGCCAGTGTCAGCTCTGGCTTGTGCCAAGGTGCAGGGGCAATCGATAATTTCTTCCAGGAAGTCAGGAAGGGTCTCCTCCCTCCTGTCCCATTCCAGGCACTTGGCTGTTGCCCAGGAAGCTGAGTCTTTCCTGAAGTCTTCCCCAAGGTGCCAGGCCAGTGCATGCACTGGGCTCCAGATTGATGGAACATTGCTAAAAAAGAAAAAACTTAGACCAACAGAGGAAGCATTATTTTGTCTTATTTACTGAATGCCAAATTACCTAACTATACCATCAAAACTAGAATTATGAAAACTTTACAACCTAAAGGTTTTCATTTGATAATAGTTGCTTCACTGTTACCTATAGATTTCCTGCCTCAAACCTACAGTGACATCATGCAATAACCATTCAATTATGATTAAGGCATTTTAGAGTTTGTGGTCCCCGAAACAGATCTGGTTGACCTCCCCCTATTGAACACTCAGCAGATTACTGTGAGGGAATCCAAATGCTTAATTAATCCCATGTGCCTGTAGAATGCTGGGTCTGGGCAGAATTTAAGCACTGTCCCTGGCTTTGGGCTTCTAGGCATGGTCTCCAGGTACGGTCTCCAGGTACAAACCTGACATCTGACAATCCTCTTGGCAGTGGGAACACTTCTGTCCAAATAGTCTAGGCTCTGAAACTAGTACCATCTCCCACAAGCCTCCCCAGCAGCTCTTGCACATCCCCCAGAATTCCAACAAAGGCATGTGCCTTCTGGTATGCAGTTTCACTCTTCAGCAATATGCAACAGTGAAAGCAAATAGACACAGACAGACTTTGCACAAAATTCTAAAATACCATTACTCTTTACTTAAGACACAAAGCATGGAGATCTCAACAACATAAACATCTATATCCATTTTCCCTGCCTCAATTTCCTCATCACTCGAGAGTTCTTTGGGCATAGGCCAAAGCCATCCAGGATCCTTCCCCTCCCTGCTCCATATGACTTTTACTCCTAGGGAAATTCTGCAACAAAAAAATAAAAAATCTGTGCACAATATTTTCAAATTCTGCATATATTATTTGTCAAAATAACACAATATAGAAACACCAATTTAAATTATTTTTGGTCATTCATTTAAAAATACCTGTCAGCAAGTATGTCTGTAACAATACAGACAACAAAAAAGATTCAGAAAAATGTTTTTTGACAAATACATTCCTTACTAGGCACATTAATACAGAACTCTGAGTAATAATTCATTTAAACTACAATACAGAACCATATTTTCCACACCCTCCAGAAGCACTGCAAAGGCTGGGGGGAGTCAGAGGTAATGGAGGAGCTGAGGAAGAGGGAAATAATTGCTGGGAAGGAGCCTGAGTGTGAACTTGGAGGATTGTTAGGTATGGGTGGGAAAAGCATGGAACAGGTTTTTTCGGGGTCAGGGGTGGGGACTGATAGGGAGCTTCCCCCATGCAAACCCTGGCTGACCCCAGCCAAGATCTCCCATTCAGTCAGGCACATGTGTCTCTCCACCCCCACTCAGACACCACTCCCACCATCCCCATTTAGCCCTGCACCCCCTCCCTCATCCCCATGTGTCTCTGTGTCCCCACTGAGCCACCCCTCTGTCCCTGTGTGGCCCTGCACCTCCCTCCCCATCTCCATGTTTCTCTGTGCCCCCACTCAGCCACCCCTTCCCCCTGTCCCCATGTGTGTGTGTCCCCACTCAGCCACGCCCCTTCCCCCTGTAGCTCTGCACCCCCTTCCTCCTCATCATGTGGTCCTGTACCTACAGTACCATTCAGCCCCTGCCCCAGTCTGTCCTCCCACACTAGCCCTTATGAGCCCGTCTGACCCCCCAGGACCCCCACTCTGTCTCCCGACAGGCGCTGTGAAGAAGGCACGCTCTCTCTCTTCCCTAGCTGGCTGTGAGCTGCTGCTGTGTTCTATTGCCATAGCAACTTTTCAGCAGAAGCTTTTTTGTGCAAAAAATTAAAAATATGCGTGACTCATTAATTATGCACGCACACAGTGGCACAGAATTTCCCCAGGAGTAGCCTTTCATCTAGAACATAGGAACATAGGCTAGATTGTCGGGCTCAACGGGTAGTTATCAATGGCTCCATGTCTAGTTGGCAGCCGGTATCAAGTGGAGTGCCCCAAGGGTCGGTCCTGGGGCCGGTTTTGTTCAATATCTTCATAAATGATCTGGAGGATGGTGTGGATTGCACTCTCAGCAAATTTGCGGATGATACTAAACTGGGAGGAGTGGTAGATACGCTGGAGGAGAGGGATAGGATACAGAAGGACCTAGACAAATTGGAGGATTGGGCCAAAAGAAATCTGATGAGGTTCAATAAGGATAAGTGCAGGGTCCTGCACTTAGGACGGAAGAACCCAATGCACACCTACAGACTAGGGACCGAATGGCTAGGCAGCAGTTCTGCGGAAAAGGACCTAGGGGTTACAGTGGACGAGAAGCTGGATATGAGTCAGCAGTGTGCCCTTGTTGCCAAGAAGGCCAATGGCATTTTGGGATGTATAAGTAGGGGCATAGCGAGCAGATCGAGGGACGTGATCGTTCCCCTCTATTCGACATTGGTGAGGCCTCATCTGGAGTACTGTGTCCAGTTTTGGGCCCCACACTTCAAGAAGGATGTGGATAAATTGGAGAGAGTCCAGCGAAGGGCAACAAAAATGATTAGGGGTCTGGAACACATGAGTTATGAGGAGAGGCTGAGGGAGCTGGGATTGTTTAGCCTGCAGAAGAGAAGAATGAGGGGGGATTTGATAGCTGCTTTCAACTACTTGAAAGGGGGTTCCAAAGAGGATGGCTCTAGACTGTTCTCAATGGTAGCAGATGACAGAACGAGGAGTAATGGTCTCAAGCTGCAGTGGGGGAGGTTTAGATTGGATATTAGGAAAAACTTTTTCACTAAGAGGGTGGTGAAATACTGGAATGCGTTACCTAGGGAGGTGGTAGAATCTCCTTCCTTAGAGGTTTTTAAGGTCAGGCTTGACAAAGCCCTGGCTGGGATGATTTAACTGGGAATTGGTCCTGCTTCGAGCAGGGGGTTGGACTAGATGACCTTCTGGGGTCCCTTCCAACCCTTATATTCTATGATTCTATGATCTCTGGATTCTTCTCCCTCTCATAGCTCCAAGCCCCTCTTTTGTAATCTCCGAACTCTGTTGTCAGGTCACTCCCTGATCAGCCGCACCATGTGATCAGACCCCTGCCAGGTAACTATTGCCAGACAACCTCTGATACCCTATTCTCTTGGTTAGGAGCCAGTCTATGGTCTACAGTGCTTCACTTTGAATAGAGAACCATATAGATCAGATGTGGGCAAACTACAGCCCGGGAGACCGTCCTGCCCGGCCCCTGAGCTCCTGGCCTGGGAGGCTCGCCCCTGGCCCCTCCCCAGCTGTTCCCCCTCCCCCGCAGCCACGCTGCTGCATGGGCAGCAGGGCTGCAAGCTCCTGCTGCTCTGAGTGGCCCGGGGCGGGGGGGGGGGCGGCAGCACGCATGGCGGTGGGTGGGTTGGGTAGCAGGTCCCGGGAGGCAGTCAGGGCACAGGGGGGGTGGTTAGGGGCAGGGGCGTCCCAGGGGGCAGACCGGGGACAGGGAGCAGTTGGATGGGGCAGAGGTTTTGGGGCAGTATGTGTTCGGGGAAAAGGTCGGGTTGGATAGGGCGTGGGAGTCCCGGGGGGCCTGTCAGGGGGCGGGGGTGTGGATAGGTCAGGGCAGTCAAGGTACAGGAAGCAGGGGGGGTTTGGGGTGGGGGGTCCCAGGAGGGAGCAGTCAGGGGCCGGGAAGTGGGAGAGGGTGAATGGGGGCAGAGGCCAGGCTGTTTGGGGGGCACAGACTTCCCTACCCGGCCCTTCATACAGTTTCGCACCCCGAAAAAAAAGTTTGCCCACCCCTGATCTAGATTTAATGACCCAGTAATGTTACTCCTGTACCACTGCCCTTTGGAGTTCCAGCGCAACATGGAGGTAAGAGGACAACAGAGAAGGCAAAGAAGTTGCGCATTCAAAATTGAGTTTGCAGCTTGACAGAAATACATACTGAGAATTAATAAACTCTCACACAATTCAAGAAGTGTATATATACTGCCCAAATCATCACAGTCTCAGATTAAACTGATTTTTAAATATATGTTAGTTTTTTTATTTGTTTGTTTTCATGTCATATTATCACTACAAGACAGAGTTAAAGTTCCTTGGGTGCCTAAACATGCATTTACCACCTTTAAATGTTTGGATTGCTTGTAAGTGTAACATTAGCTCTGGATTTCCTAAGTATGTAATGCCTAGTTTTGGGACAATTACACCATGACTGTACAGTTTTTACTCTTAAATTATAGATATGTAATCTCAACCATAACTATTTTAATGTTTTTTGTCTAGCAATTTTCTTATTTTAAAAAAATATTTAAAATGTCATACATGAACATTAAACAAACCCATAAGAAACCCACAGAGGATTTTACTGAGTGATACCATCAATGATTTTAAGATATGTAGTATTAATGTTAAATCATTTTAAAAAAAGTAACTTAAGGGAAAAATCACTGGCACAGCAAGGTAGGGCAATGTGACCAGAGCAAACCAGCCAGTTAAACAGAATTAATAGCTGCTTTCATTGCCAGAGCAAGGCAAAGCAGCTGAAGCGTACAGGTTAATCTGTTCCTCAATCTGCAGTTGAGCTAGAGGGTTGTATTAGTGAGTCTACCACTATGCGAAGGAGGCAGGGAGAGCCCAGTGCATGAATCCCAGTGTCTCTGTGCTTTAAGGACTCCTCCAACACTTGTTTCTCAGTTCCTCCTAGCAGGGTCACAGCTTAGTACACAGTGAAGCCCAGGCAACAGTGCCATGGGAAGCTTTTCAAGCACTGATGCCCAAGCTAGAATGGGGCCACAGAACCTTCAAAAGAGTTGTGACAGTTGAGGCCAAATCATCTACCAGTGAGAACTCCTGATCCATTATTTGGTGTTCAAGCATAAGACGAGAGGGTAGGAATAAATGGCCAGTTTTCAGAATGGAGAGAGGTAAATAGTGGTGTCCCGCAGGGATCTGTACTGGGATCAGTGCTGTTCAACATATTCATAAATGATCTGGAAAAATGGCTAAGCACTGAGGTGGCAAAATTTGCAGATGATGCAAAATTACTCAAGATAGTTAAGTGCAAAGCAGACTGCAAAAAGTTACAAAGGGATCTCACAAAACTGGGTGACTGGGCTACAAAATGGCAAATGAAATTCAATGCTGATAAATTAAAGTAATGCATATTGGAAAACATGCTCTAATCGATGTATAACATGCAGGCCATGCTGGAAAACATGATGGAAAACTTATGCTCTTATGAGAGAGCCAAGATAGTCAGTGCAACATTCACATATATGGTCCCCTTTTATCAAGCACTTCCTGAAAGCAGAGTTCTTGACATTGCCTTACAAATAAGCATACAATCATGCAATAGTGCCCCCAGTGGGAAACGATCCCAACATATGTCTTGTCTCCCTCATGCTGCTAACTCATTATAAGCAAGAGCAGTGCTGCATGCAAATTAGCCATAAAGGATGGGTGATAATCAGTTACCGCTGGTGTCACAATGGTCTCAATGAAGTTACCCAAGCTTGTCTGTAGCCTATATAATCATAACAATTAGATACAACTGATTTAACTACAACCTAATTTCTTCATAAATAGCCTCTGCACAAGATTCCAATTAATTTTAACCTATATGAAAAGTCTGCAGTGTTGGTATTATTCCATTGTTAATATCATTTGTGACCAAAAAAAGACTTTACGTAGATAATAAGTTTCTTCAGGACTAAGTTTGTAATTTATTTTCATTCAAACCAAGTAATTTACTTACTTGTAAGTTCTCTGAAAATACACTCCATGCCCAAAGAGTAAGTAATGTAATTTGGAGAAGGATATGCTGGATTTTTTTTATACAAAACAAAAACAATGAATCCCTACTTTAACTGCAAAAGAAAAGTCAACCTTAGGTACGGAGCCAGGACTGATGCTTCCACTATAAACAAATGCCTCTGTGTTATCTATCAGTTACTTGCCTCTGCCCATCAGAATAGTTGCTTGGACTGATTCTCAAAGCTCCAATGTCCCAGGTATTATAATCTGCTTTAGCAGGTACAGGAATGAAAGTAAATGTTCCACTATTGGGTTCTTCCTTTCCCAGGGTGTAAAGATATTTCCATTCAGCCATCCAATTCTCTGAGTAACTCTCACCTATTGAAGGAAGGTAGAAAACCCTTTTGCAAGGTGATAAAGAGCTCTTGACCACACAATGGCAATTACACTCTTTCACGTGTGTTTAAATGCAGAATAACAGTCATCAATATTATTATAAATTATTTATATTATGGTAGCATTTGCAAGCTCTAATCAAGATCAGGACCACATTGTGCTAGGCACTGTATAAACTATGAGTAAGATAATGCCCCTCCCTACACACATATACAGATTCCTGATTTACCTGTTTCTTGGTACCCCCAGACTTCTATATTGACACGTCTAGCTGGAAATGTCTGGTGCATCCATGTGACAGTCAAATTTCCTCCTGTGTTGGGTGTGCCATAGTACTGCCACTCTGTGGCATTCACTAGTGTGCTTTTTTCTGCAGCTGACACTTTGCTGTGATGTACTGCATTATGGAACAGAAGATGCTCATGTGTTAACTGCTCATTTGCTTTCTATAACACTGGAAAAGTGGTTTTATTGTAATTAAGGGGTTTGCAATATTTCTAGTATGAATCTTTCTAAATAGAGTAACTATATAAAAAGAGCCACTTACACCTTGGTCAGCATGCCAGGGCTTGCTAAGTTTGTCTCAGATGCATGCCCTACACCAGGGATCAGCAACCTTTCAGAAGTGGTGTGCCGAGTCTTCATTTATTCACTCTAATTTAAGGTTTCGCGTGCCAGTAATGCATGCTAATGTTTTTAGGTCTCTTTCTACAAGTCTTTAAAATATAACTAAACTATTGTTGTCTGTAAAGTAAATAAGGTTTTAAAATGTTTAAAAAGCTTCATTTAAAATTAAATTAAAATGCAGAGCCCCCCAGACCGGTGGCCAGGACCCGGGCAGTGAGAGTGCCACTGAAAATCAGATCGCATGCCTCCTTTGGCACACGTGCCATAGGTTGCCTACCCCCTGCCCTACGCATTACCAGACCAACACAAATGAAGACCATTGTGCTACATAGGTAGCAACTCTCCCATGAAAGCCAAAAGGGAACAACCTTTGGCTAAGCTATGCTTTTAGCCCAGAATATCTGATATCAGCAACATGAAATTGTGGAACAGCCTCAGCAATTTATGAAAGTACGGAAAGCCTCTTTTCTCAAAATATAAGGTACAAGGAGTGGTGAAAGCAACTTTTCTGAGGCCAGCTAATATCACAGCCCACACAGGAAGAACAGAAATGGCCAGAGGAGAAGGGTTATCCGAGGTGAGGATATTCATAGAAGGTTAGGGTTGGAAGGGACCTCAGGAGGTCATCTAGTCCAACCCCCTGCTTGAAGCAGGACCAATCCCCAATTTTTGCTCCAGATCCCTAAATGGCCCCCTCAAGGATTGAACTCACAACCCTGGGTTTAGCAGGCCAATGCTCAAACCACTGAGCTATCCCTCCCCCCCCCAACATATGATATGGTGACTATGTGAAAGGACATGCAAACAACAGATAGACTGATAACCTGATAACCAAGTTGCAGAGTGAGGAAATGTGAGCCCACCATCCCTGGAAATCTCAAAGGGGATGAGGCCACTTTCATACAGCAAAGGGGAGATGCAGTGGGCTCTTCCATCTTCAGAAACATAGCCACTGGTTTCAATTTCCTGCTTGAACCTGTTAATATGGAGAATATAGTCTAGCGTGGCTATTGAAGGAAGATACTCTGTGTCTTTTTTGTGTTTCATTAAGCAAACAGACACCCAATAGTCCACTGTAAGTCCCCCGTCTTTCCCATTTAGCAGTTTTACCCTCGTACTTTATCATGATGGCCACCAATGCGAACATGACAAGTGACTAACAAACAATAGGGAGCATGGGGAGAAGGATGAGAGTGACAATAAGATTGCATGGTTACAATGGTTAAGAATGGCACAACTTGATGTTTCTTAATCATATAAACTTTATTTTTGATCATTTAAACAAATTCCTTGGCTAACTCTATACCCCTTAGAGCTCCCTTAACATTATTCCAAGCCTCCGTTATATACGGAGTGACCCTGGGCTCACCACTTAGTATTTATTATTCTACTCAAAATTATTAGTTCATCTCCCCTCACCCCTAAAGTATAAACCATGTGTTTAGCTCCCACAGATGATGGGTATAGGGTTAGCTACACTGGTGCAACCACTACTGTAGAATGGCAAAGCTGCTGTTTGTTCTGGTCACATTCCACTGGTACAAACAATGGCTTTGCCTACACTAGAATTCATACCAGTATAGCTATACTGTACTGGCCACCATAGGGCAAATTCCCAGTCTAAACACCACCTAATTCAATGTATGCAGACATTTACAAAATTTTGTGAATTCATACAAAATAAAATCTCCTGGTTTTTTTTCCTGAAAACATTGGCAGGTGTGCTATTCTGTCCTCCCCACAAACACACATCTCCCGCAGTGTAGTGGTTCCAGAATTGCTGACATCATCATGATTCCTAAGGCTGTAAATGAGCCACTTTTGGTGCTTCTGAGAAAGGAAAGGTTACACCTGGGCCTATATTCCCTGAAGTCCCAAGGGTGGAAGGGGCTCAGCTAGCACCGGCCATCTCCTGCTACTATCCAGCTACCGATGATTTACAATCTATACTAGAGCCACCATCAATGCAAAATGAGATGAAGTAGGGCTAATAGCATCCTCTTCCTCTGGATAATCAGTATATTGCCTATGTCATCTGCAGAATCTTCACTGGCCCTAAGAAAAAGGATTCTACCTCCCATCTCACATCCCACAGCAAGATGTACTAACTGGACTTTTGGTCATTTCCCATTTGTTCTATTCTTGCACTGGAAAATTCTTATTTATTTATACATAACAGATGCACTTAGAATGTTTCCAGATACAAAATAAAAATCCTTGACAGAACTCCCATTCACAAAACTGGCTGTTTCTATATATACAAGGAATAAATAAAAGGCCCATGATTTTATAATAAAGTAATCCCACAAAATTCAGTTTTCTTATGAGAACATACAATTCTGGAGTATTCCTGAACTCTTAGAGAACAGACCAGTTCTTGGATGGACACGCCTATGAACTGACAAGAGATCAGGAGGATACTGGCAGTTTTAGGGAACAGGAATAAATTTGCACTCTTGTCTATAGGAGTCCTGTTCTACTCCACTTACCCACTCCTGGAAACACTCACTGACCTCAGATGTGTGCACCCCCATGCAGCAGCACAACTAAAATCACACAGCTCACCTGCAGCTCACAGCAGAGGAAGCATTAAAAGTCACATTTAAAATCTCAAAGTCCTTGCCTCCCATAAGGGAGCCCGAGGATGGAGAGATCTGCAGACAGAATTCACTGTAATCAGAACAGCAAATCCCCAGGGACTTGCAGGCCCTCTGGCACGAGCAGTTAACTAGTTCCTCCCCACATCGATGTGAACAAGAATCTTGGGCTCCTATTAAAAAAACGAAACACAAAACAAACTGGAATTACCTTGCACAGCTTCAGACCCTCTATAAGAAACAATAAAGCCTGGAAAAAACAAGAAGTAGGTTCCTTACCTAAAGGAACACTAGCAGATAATTTAGATTTAGGACCTGATACTCTAGTGAAGTAAGTCTGCTTTATCCTGAGCACGAAGTAGCCTTAAACCTAGTATAATCGGCAACTAGTAGTTTCCTCTTGCCTGGAAGAATCCCCTGGTGGCATAGAATTTCTACACCAAACCTCATCCTGTCTCCCACCTAGCACAAGGGGAGTGGCTGGGGAAAACTGGGTGTGGCTGGCATCCTTACAGCTCTGTGATTACCAATTTCCAGAACAGTCTCTTGGGGGCTGTAGGCAGCTAGCATAGCTCTAGGTCAGGGGTGGGCAAACTTTTTGGCCTGAGGGCCACATCGGGTTTCCAAAATTGTATGGAGGGCCGGTTAAGGGAGGCTGTGCCTCCCCAAACAGCCAGGTGTGGCCTGGCCCCCGCCCCCATCCGACCCCCCCCCCGCTTCTCACCCCCTGACTGCCCCCCCAGGACTCCTTCCCCATCCAAACCCCCTGTTCCCTGTCCCCTGACGGACTCCCGGGACCCCTGCCCCATCCCCTGACCGCCCCTGGACCCTCCCCCTCTGACTGCCCCCCGCCGCCCCATCCAACCCCTCATCTCATTCCTGACTGCCCCCCCCCGGGACCCCTGCCCCCATTCAACCCCCTTGTTCCCCGCCCTCTGACCGCCCTGACCCCTATCCACACCCCCACCCCCTGACCACCACCCTGAACTCCCCTGCCCTCTATCCAACCCCCCCTGCTCCCTGCCCCCTTACCTCACTGCCTAGAGCACCAGTGGCTGGTGGTGCTACAGCCGCGCTGCCCAGAGCGCCAGGACAGGCAGCCGCGCTGCCCGGCTGAAGCCAGCCACACCATGCAGCACAGAGCACCGGATCAGGCTGCGGCTCTGCAGCTGCGCAGCCGCCCAGAGATTTGGAGGGGAATCAGCAGTGGACGGGCCGTGGGCTAGCCTCCTGGGCCAGAAGCTCAGGGGCCAGGCAGGAGGGTCCCGCGGGCCGTAGTTTGCCCACCTCTGCTCTAGGTACTCTGCTCTGATTCGTGGCAGGTCAAAAGCAGTCCCAGATTCTTAAAAGTGGCTTAAAATCACCTCCTTTCCCAATCTGTCCCTTAAAATTTAGTTTGGTTTAAAAAAAAGTTTTCAAAGTACTGGGCAGGAGCAGGAGTCACTTTTAATCCCCTGGTGATGGAGGCAAGGTGAGAGGAGGTGGGGATGAAGACCACCTGCTTCCAGTTCATCCTGCTTCCTTCAGAAAAATAAATATCTATTTGTCAACTCTTTCTTTTTTGCAGGGTGGGTGGGAAAGAAAAATCTGCTGGCCCAGCAGGCAAGATGGGGACAAAAGTGTCACCAGTTGAGCAGTATAGGAATCGTTCTCTCCATAAAACTCTTTTCCTGATAGAGGAGGTCCTTCCTGCTGTTTCCCCATTTCCTCCTGGTGATTAATTCAGCCCATGGTGAACCTTTTTTATCTGCCAGCTACCTTCCATACTGTTATCCATGAAGTAGTGTTGATAAGGCTGGGGATTCTAGCAGAGATAGGTGGAGTTATTCTAATGTGGCTCCAGTTTAACCTTTGGAGAGGTTCCAATTTATCCAGCCTCATGTCTTATCACATCACTTACACCTCCTCTGTTTTGACAACGGCAGTTTCCACCACCTGTTGTCTGTTTATTTGAGTGAGAAAAGTATGAAAGTCTGCCTATTCTTCTTGCCTACCTACAAAACACAAACTCATGAAGATTATCTCAGGATAAAAGTTAGGAACAGTCAAGCATCTACTAATCTGGCTCCTAAAATCCAAAGATTATGCACCCATTGGACTCACAAGCTAAGCATTCCCCCACCTATCTTGTCTTTAGGCCTGATCCAGTAGACAAGTTCAGAGCATGTCCAAACCCACAACAAAACATCTGGAGGAGATAGTGCTTCCTTATAATCTTTAGCCCAGTGGTTAGAACATTCACCCAGGATGTGGGACACCTCTGTTCAAATCCTCCTTCTGCCTGATGTGGAGCAGAGATTTGGACTTTGATCTCCCTCATCCCAGGAGTGTGCCCTCATCCCTGGGGTAGTTTGGGGTGGGCCACTGTCAATCACTCCTATGGAAGTTGTTCCACGGTGTATAAATATATAACTATTCATAGGAGCAGTGGGACTGAAACCTGGGTCTCCCACCTCCCAGGCAAGTGCCCTAATCACTGGGCTATAGACATACTCACACTCTTTCCGGTCCAGTGAACATTTAATTATTTATAGAGAGATTCATACAGACTCACCCCAGAATGTGCAGTGATTACGGCATGCTGCAGGTAGGTAGGAGACCCAAATTCAAATCTCAGCTCCACATCAAGCAGATGGGAGATTTCAAATTTGGGTCTCCCACATGCTGGCAAGTATCAGAGGGGTAGCCATGTTAGTCTGGATATGTAAAAGCGGCAAAGAGTCCTGTGGCACCTTATAGACTAACAGACGTCTTGGAGCATAAGCTTTCTTGGGTGAATGCCCACTTCGTCAGATGCATATAGTGGAAATTTCCAGAGGCAGGTACAAATAGGCAAGCAAGTTCTTGTCTATAAGGTGCCACAGGACTCTTTGCCAAATGCTGGGTAAACACTGGTATAAAGGTTATAAGGGGGCACTAACAACTTCTCCACTTTTTGTTGAAAAAGGAACTGTAGCTTAATTAATAGATTGGTATATTGATTAACCTCTTTGAGCACAGTGGTCAATAAAGGTTCAGTTTCTTGAGGACTGTAGCATCAGGAATATTATCATCAGTACCGCTAGAATTAGAGACCCTAGGGGCACACGAAAAACAACTGCAATTTATGTCAAGTCCCCTTATTAGCACATCCACTAAACAGACAAACAATCCCACAAACACTGCAATATAACAGCAGACAGAGTGAGAGAGAGAGAGTACCAAGTGCTTAGCTCTATGACTAGCATCACTCACATCTCACATTTCCTGCTGGGGGACCACGGACTGTCGGTAATTATCTTCCTCATCATCATCTTTATTGTCATCACCATCACCACCAGTGGTTGTCATCCTAGCATCTGCCAGGCAACACCTTATATCCTGGGTTATGCTTACACCTATGAAGCCTCATACATATGGATATGGGTTCCAATCCCTTTTTCCACACCCCACTAATTTAGGGGTTCCCCACTTTTCATTGGTTATTCCCTTAGTTCCCCTTACTCTCGTTAACATCTATGTCAATGAGTTAACATAGCAACTTGAGGTTATTACTATGGGGCATCTTGCAGTACTAACTGGCACACTGTGGTGTACTTTCCAGCCTATTGCTGCACAGTTTCTTGAACATCATCACTTACTATAATTTTACACTTTACTGGTACAGGGTAATCGTTTGGTCAACTAGTTGTACTAGCCTGTTTCATGCCTAAGGCCTTGTGGGCCTAAACTGAATATTTTATAGGCCTGTAGGTCCTATGTTATAACACTAATTATTATATTTCACCTCTATATCCTAAATATACTTAATATATTTTATTCTTGGCTACAGAAAAATCTAGTTGAGGAATCTAAATCCAGGAGAAGGTTCACAGCTATGAATCCCAAGTGATTCACAGTGGAAATAAGTCTCTTCCTGAAGCCTGGAGTTAGGCACTTAACTCAGCATTTCTATCAGGTAGCTTAGACAGTTCAATACTTGGTGTGCAGATTTTTGTGAATCCCATTCTTGGGTGCCCAACACTCCCCTGCATTATATAGGGAGCTAGGTGCCTAAATCAAGATTGCAAACTCCACTTGGTAGAAGGGTGCTTAAAAGTTAGGTCTTGCAATGCTGAGTGTTATAGTGCCTATGTTTCCCTTGTGAATCCCACCCTAAAAGAAAATATGACTGCCATAAGTCACATCCTGTTCTGGAATGCAGACCCTATAACATGTTTGATGACATGTCATTGGATAGCAGCTTGAAATTAATTTTCAGAATAGTGAAAGCAAACACTAACTCCAGATGGAAAACTAAAAGTAATTGTACATTGTTACTAACAAGTTAAAACAATATCAGGGAATTGCCTCACAGTAAAAACCATTTCCATTAGCTTACCATTCATCTGACTTTGCAGAAATACAAATATCTTCTTCTATAAAAATTTATAAAACTCCCCTATTTACAAAAGGGTATAGGTGTCCAAAAACACTCACCTTCCCTCTGATGAGCAATATTGCAGAAAATGAGGAGAGAGGCACAGATGCCAGTCAGTTTCATGCTTTGCTCTAGATGCTCAGGGATTATTGATTCCGGGGTCGTTTTTTCTCCTGATAGGCACAACGTCTTTTCAGAAACACTTCTTCAGAAATAACTGATTTCCTCAGAGTTCAAAGGTTCCTTGAAAATAACTGAGACGAAACAAACTGTTGGTGATGTTCCCTTCTAGAGGCCACACCTACTTATAACAAAGGTCCAAGCAGAAAAGTATAGAAACGCAAACGGAGCAGATGCCCTTGTTGCAGTACAGTAACTCCTCGCTTAACATTGTAGTTAAGGACAGGCAGGGGAGGAAAGGTGGAGGAGTTGCACTCTATGTAAGAGTGCAGTATGATTGCTCAGAGCTCCAGAATGAAACTGGAGAAAAACCTGTTAAGAGTGTTAGGGTTAAGTTTAGAGGCGAGAGCAACAAGGCTGATGTTGTGGTGGGCGTCTGCTATAGATCACCAGACCAGGAGGATGAGATAGACAAGGCTTTCTTTGGACAACTAACAGAAGTTTCCAGATCACAGGCCCTGGTTCTCATGGGGGACTTCAATCACCCTGACATTTGTTGGGAGAGCAATACAGCAGTGCACAGACAATCCAGGAAGTTTTTGGAGAGTGTTAGAGACAACTTCCTGGTTCAAGTGCTGGTGGAACCAACTAGGGGCCATACTCCTCTTGACCTGCTGCTCACAAACAGGGAAGAATTGGTAGGGGAAGTAGAAGTGGGTGGCAACCTGGGTGACTATGAGATGATCGAGTTCAGGATCCTGACAAAAGGAAGAAAGGAGAGCAGCAGAATACATACCCTCAACTTCAGAAAAGCAGACTGACTCCTTCAGGGAACTGATGGGCAGAATCCCCTGGGAGGCTAATATGAGGGGGAAAGGAGTCCAGAAGAGCTGGCTGTATTTTAAAGAAGCCTTATTGAGGGTGCAGGAACAAACCATTCCAATGTGCAGAAAGAATAGCAAATATGGCAGGCGACCAGGTTGGCTTAACAGATAAATCTTCAGTGAGTTTAAACACAAAAAGGAAGCTTAGAAGAAGAAGTGGAAACTTGGACAGATGACTAGGGAGGAGTATAAAGATATTGCTTGAGCTTGCAGGGGTGTAATCAGGAAGGCCAAAGCACAATTGGAGTTACAGCTAGCAAGGGATGTGAAGTGTAACAAGAAGGGTTTCTACAGGTATGTTAGCAAAAAGAAAAAGGTCAGCGAAAGTGTGGGACCCTTAATGAATGGAGGAGGCAGCCTAGTGACAGATGATGTGGAAAAAGCTGAAGTACTCTGCTTTTTTTGCCTCGGTCTTCACAGACAAGGTCACCTCCCAAACTGCTGTCCAGGGCAACACACTATAGGGAGGAGGTGAGCAGCCCTCAGTGGTGAAAGAACAGGTTAAGGACTATTTTGAAAAGCTGGACATGCACAAGTCCAAGGGTCTGGATCTAATGCATCCGAGGGTGCTGAGGGAATTGGCTGATGTGATTGCAGAGCCATTGGCCATTATCTTTGAAAACTCGTGGCGATCTGGGGAAGTCCCGGATGACTGGAAAAAGGCTAATGTAGTGCCCATCTTCAAAAAAGGGAAGAAGAAGGATCCTGGGAACTACAGGCCAGTCAGCCTCACCTCAGTCCCTGGAAAAATCAAGGAGCAGGTCCTCAAGGAATCAACTCTGAAGCACTTAGAGGAGAGGAAAGTGATCAGGAAGAGTCAGCATGGATTCACCAAGGGCAAGTCATGCCTGACTAATCTAATTGACTTCTATGACGAGATAACTGGCTCTGTGGATGAAGGGAAAGTGGTGGATGTGTTGTTCCTTGACTTTAGCAAAGCTTTTGACACGGTCTCCCACAGTATTCTTGCCAGCAAGTTAAAGAAGTATGGGCTGGATGAATGGACTATAAGGTGGACAGAAAGTTGGCTAGATTGTCGGGCTCAAAGGGTAGTGATCAATGGCTCCATGTCTAGCAGCCGGTATCAAGTGGAGTGCCCCAAGGGCCGGTCCTGGGGCCGGTTTTGTTCAATATCTTCATAAATGATCTGGAGGATGGTGTGGATTGCACCCTCAGCAAGTTTGCAGATGACACTTAACTGGGAGGAGTGGTAGACACGTTGGAGGGTAGGGATAGGATACAGAGGGTCCTAGACAAATTAGAGGGTTGGGCCAAAAGAAATCTGATGAGGTTCAATAAGGACAAGTGCAGAGTCCTGCACTTAGGACAGAAGAATCCCATGCACCGCTACATACTAGGGACCGAATGGCTTGGCAGCAGTTGTGCAGAAAAGGACCAAGGGGTTACAGTGGACGAGAAGCTGGATATGAGTCAACAGTGTGCCCTTGTTGCCAAGAAGGCCAATGGCATTTTGGGATGTATATGTAGGGGCATTGCCAGCAGATTGAGGGACGTGATCGTTCCCCTCTATTCGACATTGGTGAGGCCTCATCCGGAGTACTATGTCCAGTTTTGGGCCCCACACTACAAGAAGGATGTGGAAAAATTGGAAAATGTCCAGCGGAGGGCAACAAAAATGATTAGGGGACTGGAACACATGACTTATGAGGAGAGGCTGAGGGAACTGGGATTGTTTAGTCTGTGGAAGAGAACAATGAGGGGGGATTTGATAGCTGCTTTCAACTACCTGAAAGGGGGTTCCAAAGAGGATGGATCTAGGCTGTTCTCAGTGGTAGCTGATGACAGAATAAGGAGTAATGGTCTCAAGTTGCAGTGGGGGAGGTTTAGGTTAGATATTAGGAAAAACTTTTTCACTAGGAGGGTGGTGAAACACTGAAATGCGTTACCTAGGGAGGTGGTGGAATCTCCTTCCTTAGGAGTTTTTAAGGTCAGGCTTGACAAAGCCCTGGCTGGGATGATTTAGTTGGGGATTGGTCCTGCTTTGAGCAGGGGGTTGGACCAGATGACCTCCTGAGGTCCCTTCCAACCCTGATATTCTATGATTCTAAGTCAAGTTGCTTCACATCTGTATTTTTCTGGGTTGAGCTGGATTGCCCCTGCCTGTCACGCTTGTTGGCAGCCGCAACCACCAGAGACCTGAGGGAGGGGTGTGTTTATAAGTACTCAAACCCTTTTGCTGGAACGTAGTATTAGCGCTCTGCCCTCTTAAACATGGGGGGCAGGGATGATGGGGTCTGCCACAGGGCTTTTACAATCTTTACTACCCCATCGTGCATGGGTAGAGCCACCTTTGCTGGGGCCACTGCAGCCAAATAGGGAGTCCGTAGGCTTGGACATTTCTTCCGTCTGCAATCCCAGGTTGGCTGCCACCCTTTTAAGCAGCTCCTGGTGGGTTTTGACAGCGTCCTAAGGCACAGTCTGTGATGGGGCTGTTACTGCCTCATCAGGCAACGATGAGGAGGAGGCCATGCCAGGATCAGGGGCAGATTCCACATCCCCTGCATGGGGAACCACATCTACTGGAGGAAGTGGCTCTTGGGTCCCTTGGACTAATGCAGCGTCCGAGCCCGGGGTGGTCAAGACACCAAGGCCGTAGGTCTCTCCAACGCCCCTGAGACTGAGCGCTGGGCCTGAGGTCCCCCAACCTGGGGAATTGCCCCTGGATTATAGACTTGCCAGGGCCCTGTGGCCACATGCCTGCAGGTTGGCTCTAGGAAGAACCTGCTTGCTGTGCAGGTGGCGGTTGGTCCCTGAGGGCCATGGACTCCTCACTCTCTGAGCTCGAGAAGGAACGGTCTCCCTCTAGTGACCATGGCGGTGCTACCACGGGGTAGGCTTCCCCCCATGTCTGGCAGTCTTGTGCCTGCCTATCGGGGAGTAGTATCGGGATATCTGGCAACCAGCAGCGCTGCTCATATGCCTGGTGATAATCTGGAGAACGCTTTGCCATCCGCTTGGAGAACAGTGTGTAGGCTCCGGTGACTGACGTCTGGATTCCAGTGACCAGCGATGGGGTTGTGGAGACCTCAGTCGGGGCTCCGGCAACTGATGCCACTCCGAGGATTGGTGCCGGAACTCCGGGGAGCGCCGAGGCTCTGTGGAGCGGCACCTGTGAACCAGCACTTTTCAGGTGACCACTGCCGGAGTTCTGGGGACCAGCGGCATGCTTGCGGCCTGGTATCACAGATCCAGTGACCAATGTATGGATCTCAGAGATTGGTGCCTGGGGCTTGGCGATCACTAGGAACCTACCGAGTCGCTGTGGGCTTGCAGTTTGGGACATGGCTCTGGTCCTGTTGAGCAGGCCAGGGTACGGTGCCATGGGGGTGATTTGTGCAGGGGAGCCATTGAGGGCTTTCCCCTAGAAACGGGTGGGCGGGAGGGATCCTTAGGCCTCTCTTCCCGAGAAATAGGTGTCACCGGGAAGGAGAAGATGTCTTTGGCTGCCTGAAAGGCTTCTGGGGTGGATGGCACCATGAGGTATCATGTGCGTCTATCACTCCCTGGGGTAGGAGGCAGGTCGCGGGATGGACTAGGCCCAATAGACGAAGCTGCCGTGTGGCTACGCTCCGGCGAGATGGCCCGACTCAGTCCAGGCTCCTCTTCTCCCTTGTCCTTACCTTTATGGGACCCCAGGTAGCGTCCCCTTCCGGCATGCTTCTTGTGCCTTTTGGCCAGTACCAGTGACAAGAATCGGTGCCAGGGGGGCACACTTCATGTCAATGTCGAAGTACTTGGCACCGAGTCTGTATATGCCAGCTCTGAGGCCACTGCAAGAGCAGACTTTATGAGGAGCATGCGGAGTCTGATGTCTCTCTCCTATCTGGTCTGGGGCTTGAATCTCTTGCAGATTCAGCACTTCTCATGAATGTGAGACTCACCCAGACACTTTAAACAACTAAGATATGGATTGCTGATCGGCATAGGCTTCTTGCAGGGATCCCATGGCTTGAAGCCCGGGAAGCTGGGCCTGCCCTGTCCCTGAGTTAAGACCCTCAGGGGACTAAGAATGATAACTAAGTACACTAACACTATAAAGAAACTGATACAATAAAAGTTCAAAGTACCACTGAAAGGGAAATCCTTTGATAAGCAAGGGGAGCATTTCAGCACTGAGACTGGCGGTAAGAAGGAACTGAGGGAGGGAGCCGGCAAAGTCAGAGGACGCCAGAGCCAGTCCCCTATGGATACCACTGAGGAAAAAACTTCCGGCACTGGTGCATGTGGCAAGCACATAAACCTACAATAGAATAGACATGAGCAATCACTCGAAGAAGGAGGTTGAGAACACCTGCCTTAAACCCACCCTATCCCAGTACTGTACAGTGAAATCAGCACTGCACAACAACCCAACCCTAGGCTCTTACTCCATCACCCATACCTCAACGAGAGATAAGATATATATTTCCTTCTTATCCGTTTCTCCTGGCACCAGCAATACTCTGTATGACCTCCCTCACCATGCAGCCCTTCAACTGGTGAATGAAGACCAGAATCTGCACTGACAAGGAGGCTTAGGGTCAGTGATACACAGCGGGGCACCCTCCTTCTACAAGTAGCTCATGGGTGGGCTAGGAAGGATGTGGCTGTGTCCTCTCTAACCCAACTTGACTACATGGCTGAAACTGAATGGACTATGGGTTCCACCCTATCCCTAGAAGCATTCAGTTGCTGACACCAATGAGTTAGCGGGATGAACGTGCAAACGGTTGCATAACTATGAGAGAGGCCAAGAGAGTTCTAGGTCTGAAAAGCTGAGGGAGGAGATGGCTGCACCCAGGTACTATGGTGATGGGGACCATTAAGGTACCCAGATAGAATATACAGTAGAGAAAGACAAAAGGGAGCAACTGAGGGAGGATGTGACTGACAAGGGCAGATGAGGGGCAATAAACTATCCTCAGGAGTCCCAGACTAGGAAACCCCTGAATAACAGGCACTGAAATTGCCAACATCCTCTCTGGAGCTGTGCCAATCAGAGACCAACATAGAGGGAAAGAGGAGTCACCACCATAGGGCAGCGCTGTGTTTCCCTACCCCAAGCTAGTCAGTCAAGGGGGAGACAAAGGGCAGTGTCATGGTGGCCCCTCCCTACAAGCCAGATGGGATAGGACGCCATCTTTCCTGTTAGCAGAGAGGGTGCTCCCTCCCAACTACCCCTTATTCTGACCTTGGTTGGACCACAGACACCAGACCAGACTCCAACCCCACACCTCAGTGTCACTTCTCCAGAGAAGGTGCTTCTGCAGTAGCTCTGCCCACAGGTCCCCCATGGGGCCTTGGCCTTCAGGGCCTTGATTAGGCATCACCTTTCCTGTGCTCTCTAGCGGGCCTGGGTGGGTCTGTACCAGGACACAGGGCCCATCTCGTAACTAAGGCTGTGAGTTTGTCACAGAGGTCACAGATTCCGTGATTTCTGCAGCAGCTGATGCGGCTGGCCTGGGCACCACCTGAGCAGCCCTGGGCCAGCTGCACAGGCCGCTGCTGGGTCAGCTTCAGGCTGCCACGTCCCCCCCCACAGGAGCGGCGGTGGTCACAGGATGCCGTGTCTGCTCTCCTGCAGCAGTGGGGTTCCCGCCCACTTCCCCCCGAGCACCTGTGGCGACCCCAAGCTGCCCCTGCCCCAGAGTACCCAAGATTTAGTCTGGAGTATATAGTACAAGTCATGGACAGGTCATGGGCCATGAATTTTTGTTTACTGCCCATGACCTGTCTATAACTTTTACTAAAAATACCAGTGACTAAAACATAGTCTCATGGTGGCCAAGTGGGTCCAAACTGGGGGTTTCACAGCTCAGGCACTGAAGATGGAGAGAAAGGAGGAATTGGTGTTCAAAGCCCCCCCATCTATCCACAGGTCCCTCTCTTACTCATGGGCCCATCTCCACTTGCACACCTCACCCCCCCCAATCCTCCCATATACCCAGTCCGCTCAGCTCACTCTCTCTCACACACAACCCCCACAGGTACCTCACCCCTCAATCCTCCTGTCTATCCATGCAGCCCCCCATCATGCTATGTCCCCACCCCCATGGGCCCCCCATCCTGTTCCCCCACCTCAGCCCCGCCCCAGGCACCTTACTCCTCAGTCCTCCCACCTACCCACAGGGCCCTCATCCTGCTTCCCAACCCCCCCCGTACCTCACTCCCCAATCCTCCCACCTACCCATGGGACCCCCCAACCTGCTCCCCTGCCTCAGCCCCCCTGCCCAGCACCTCACGCCCCAATCTTCTCATCTACCCACAGGCCTCCTCCCCCCTAGCTCCCCTAGGTACCTGACCCCCCAATTCTCCCACCTACCCACAGGCCCCCCATCCTGCTCCCCAACTCCAGCACCTCACCGCCCTATCCTGTCATCTACCAATGGGACCCCCATTCTGATCTCTCACCCCACCAGTCCCAGGCACCTTTACCCCCCCAATCCTCTCACCTGCCCTCGCGCCCCATTCCCAAACCTTAGGACGCTGCCCTGGAAAGGGCGGGTTTTCACCAATCTGTATAGCACGAAAGTGACGTTACTAGGGGAGACCTAACGTCCCTTCGGTACGTCAGTCGAGGCCACACCACGGCGCTGAAAAGCCGGGGTAGAGGAAAGGGATGAAGTAGTGCATTGTGGTAAATGTGGTCCAAACCTCTCCCGCCTCTATCTCCCATGAGTCCCTGCGGTCCCATTTTCCCCCCGCCTCTATCTCTTATCGGTCGTCGCAGGGTCCACTCATGGCCTCCCTTTTCAAGGGCGGGGGCGCTGCGAGGTCAGAAGCGTAAGTGGCAGTGGCAGTGGCAGTGGCCGTGGCCGTGACAGGCTGTGCAGTGCCGAGTGGCGCGGCCATCAGCAGAAGGTCAGAGGAGCAGGAGGCTCCGATCTCACGGCGAGGGGGGCCCATGACCTCACCAGCCTCAGTGCACCACGGGAATTGTAGTCTCCAATCTGGTCCACTTGAGCGGGTGACCCCCATCCCTAATCTCCGCTAGTGACCCATTCTTAATACTCTCCAGGCTTTCTTCCCGACTCTGCACCAGCTCCCCCAGTTACAGAACCGAAGCAACGTCTGGTTAATCTTTCCACTTGGCCGGTATTAGAACAAATACCGCCGCCACTTCCGGTCACTGTTCTCAGTCGGGCCCTATTAGAGAACTCCTAGGCCAACCTAACTTCCGGTCAATGTTCGCGGAAGGACGCTATTGCTTTGCTTACCAGGCAACTTTATTTCTGGTTACTGTTTTGAGGCGGATGTTATTACAGTGCGCACTTAGAAACTTAACTGCTGGTCACTGTTCGCACGCAGATGCCATTGCAACATTTACTGGTGCAATATAACTTCCGGCGGGGGAAAGTGGGCGTGGCTGTGACAGGCTGTGACGCTTACAGGAGAAGATTGGAGGACAGGTGGCACCGCCGTCAAGGTTGGAGAGGAGCGTGAGCAAAACCGTTGAACGTGCGGCTGCTCGCGAGGCCCCGGTGCACGGTCCCTGCCGTACGCCTGTCTGGTGATTTCCAAGGCCGGTGTCGAGTGCTCTCGGGTTTTCTTGCAGGCTCCAGCCGCCGGCTCGTGTGTATTGGTGTTTTCAGGATCAGGGCCAAACCCTTGGTCCGGTCTGTAAAAGGCAGATTTTCTGCCTTTATAGGTCAGCATCCTTTGGAATCACTGGACAGTCTGATTTGATGTTTCTAACTGCACCAGAATAAGTAGCCTTGTAAACTACCCTTGTTCAGATTGAACTTGTTTTCAAGCAATAACCAAAGCTCTTTAAAATGTTTATAATTTTCAAATAATAATTACCCTAACTTTAATTGGCAGCCAGTGTGGGACTTAAAATATGTCTTTGACTTAAAAACCTTGGCTAAAAATTGGGTAACTATAAATTATTTTTCTTTTAAGACAAATTTAAACATTTTTATTTGGGAAAATAACTGAAGCTGGTCATGTCAGTGCTATGTTTACTATCGTGTCATGCTATTGTTGCTACCAAAGTTTGCAGGCACAACATTTGAAATAGGGCATATGTCTTCTCTGGAGGAAAACCATTTCCCAGGAGAGTGACCTGCCTGTAAACAAAGATGCTCAGTCCTCACCTGTGTCGTACCCGTTGCTGGGTTTGAGTCACTGCTCACCATTTTTTCCTTCTTTGTATTTGGTCTTGGTTTCCTTCAGTGAACATGAGTATCTTAGCAAGTGGCAGTCCTCTCTAGGGATAAAGGGAAGGGAGAGGGAAAATAGTCTTCTGTGAGCTAACTACTTTGGATGCTGTTTGTCACAGTACAGAAGCATCCAGGTTCCCCTTTGCTGTAGCTATGACTATATAGGGGTGGGGGGTGTACTTGGGGGTGTACATGTGTGTATATGAGACAGATCACGTTAGAGAAGCAGGAACATGAGCCTATCCCATTGCTGTCTCTGGCAATAACTCTCTGTTTGTAGTTTGTTTCCTGTCATAGGAGGATCTGAGACGAGACCTGAAAGATGAAGACCCAACAAATCCACCCTGTTGGGCATAGATAGCTCCAGCCAACAGCGGTCTAGCTGGGACCAGAGCAGTTGCAGCCATCCCTCAGATAAGTGTCCAGTTAGAGCTTTGAGTCTAGCCCTCCCGACTGGAGACACATCTTTCCTATGTTAGATGGGACTGACAAACCAAGAAAAGGTTCTGCTTGTAGGATGGGGAAATTAATATACACGGCAGGGTGTAATATGTCCTGCCCAGAAGAAGCTTAGGTTTAGGGTTTAGGATGAGGGTTGGGCTAAGGTTAGGAGGGGTTAGGGTTAGGGTTTAGGGTTAGGGTTACAATTAGGTTAGGGTTAGGGGTTAGGGTTTGGGGTTAGGGTTTAGGGTTAGGGGTCTGGGTTAGGGTTTGGGTAGGGTTAGGGTTAGGGCTAAGGGTTAGTGTTAGGGTTAGGGATTATGGTTAGGGTTAGGGTTGAGGGTTGGGGTTAGGGTTAGAGGGTTAGGGTTTAGGGTGAGGGTGAAGGTTAAGGGTTAGGGTTTAGGGTTAGGGTGAGGGTGAGGGTGAAGGTGAAGGTGAAGGGTTAGGGTGAAGGTGAAGGGTTAGGGTTTAGGGTTAGGGTTAGGGTTTAGGGTTAGGGTTAAGGGTTTAGGGTGAGGGTGAGGGTAGGGGGGGTTTAGGGTTAGGGGTGAGGGTGAGGGGTCAGGGTCAGGGTCAAGGGTAGGGTCAGGGGTAGGGTCAGGGTCCGGGGTCAAGGGTCAAGGGTCAGGGGTTTGGGTTAGGGTTTGGGTCGGGGGTCAGG